TGTCTAAATCCCCCAACACCACAACTCCTCATAGATACGGAAATGCAAATTTGCCTCCTTCTTCCTTATTCATTTCCTTTTTTTAATTATTTCTACTATATGGATGCCAACGAGGAAGGGAAGGGGCACAGTGTTTCTTCAAATCAGCATGACTACTGGTTGATTTATCCTCAAACTTTTCCCCCTTCCTCCCTCCCCCTCTCACTTCCCCTCTCCCTTTCCCTCTCGCTTCCCCTCTCCCTTCCATCTCTTCATCCCCTTCTCCACCAACGCTGGTGACGGCTCTCCTTCCTCTCTTCTCTCTCCTATTTCCAAAGCTTAACTTCATTGTCTCAAGCCCCACTCCGCTTTCATCTTAAGACAAAGATTTATGTAAATCTTTGGGCCGGGCGTTAATGCGGAGCGCCGTGTGAGAAATAGCATCCCTAAATCATGGCATTGTTGTTGAAAATGACAAGGCAGGCCCGTTAATCCTACAATGCGATCATCCAAATGTGTCATAATGCCATGTGTAGGCAGTCGAATCTGAATATCAAAAAGACGCCACGCACCTCTTATACAGCGCCTTTAGTACTTCCACCACTAACGCACTACTACCCTCTATCTTTCTTTTTCTCTCTGTCTTCCTTTTAAGAACTCACCCTGCTTGTCACTGCACTGGCATTAAAAAAAGGAATACAACACAAAATGCCACAATCTCAAGTTTGTTGCAGAACAGGAATCACTGTCGCATTTAGCTTTCCTTTTATTGTTTTGGTTGTTTTCTCCCACATTTCTCCCACACACTTTCATTCATTTAGATTCATTTAGATAATAACAAACTACATCTGTGTAATTGTCTAAGTATCTGTGATTGTGAGATGAAATAAATCAATGGCTTTTTGCATTGTCCCTGGGATGTATTTATTTTAGAAACAGCATTATGTGGCTTTGTGGTGAAACAATATGCAGATCCAAGGGGGAAACAAAGAGTCAAGTCACTACATGTATGGAGTATTTAGCTAACAATCAGTTACCTTGTCTTCCTTTATTTAGGATCTGAAGAGGCGGCAATGCCAGTCCTTCCTCTTATTTATGTGCAGTGCTGCACTCAGGGATCAAATTGAGCCCAGTGAAAGTCTGATGAGGATTTATTTGCTGGGGGTAATTGACAAGTGAGGCAGAGGCCGAGGAGCGTGATAGTTGCTTTTTTGGAGAGAGCCATGAAACAGGCATGCCAATCAATTGGACAGGGACAAGCTTGGTGAATGATAATGTTAATAATTACCATCCGCATCGAGGGATTCCTCCCTGATTGGCTGTGAAACCTCTGCCATAATTAAAAGCCCTGGCCCAAGCTTTTCTATCCCTTTCCTCCCATCTTTACCTCCTGACATTGTGACACCTCCTCGTTTGACCCCTTCTCTCTTTATCCTCCCCCTCCCTCCTTCATTCCTCTGCCATCCAGTCAGGGAGGAGGCCCGCGGGGGGATTTTGTCAGGGAGAATAGCGGCGTTGATCTTGAAGGCTTAAGACCCTACTGTACCTGTCAACAGTGTGGCTTTGCCGCTGACGACCAACGGCTTAAGTCATTTGAAGTTGCCTCTTTTTTAATGAGGAGGGGAGGAGGCGCAGCGAGCGTTGACAGCCAGTCAGGGTCTTGAAATAATTCCATACCTCTGAATAACCAGAGGTGTCTGTCTGACTTAATCCAACCCACACACATACACACACACTTTTAAAGTAGTGGAAATGAAAGCAGGTTGCAGGGCTAATAATGAGGAAGTGGACATCCTTGTCCTGTCACAGTGCAGACTATAGTTCTGCTGCTGCACTGTGGATTGACTCTATGATCTAATGAACAAAGATGCATCCTTAATTAAAATGAAAACATGTTTCTGTCATTATGAATGGTCATCTTTATGATAACATAATACTGAACATTACTGGTATCCAAACGGATATAAACTAGGGCTGAACTAACCGTTATTTTTACTATTCATTAATCGTTATTGTATCAGAAAAAAGTGAAAAATATCCATCTTAGTTGTCATCTTCAGTCATCTCATCTTCAGTCTGACCAACAGTCTAAAACCCAATGACATTCAGTTTACATTTTGGAGGACTAAGAAAGCCAACAAACATTCTGGCTTTAGTGATTAATAGATTATCTAAATAGTTGCTGATTCATTTTCTGACAATTGACTAATATTAATGTCACTGCTTTTGCTGCATTTCAAGAGATTGGTTTTGGGTTGTTGTTTTACCTGCTATACAAAACTGTCAATAATTCATCATTGCGGTTATTTTAAAATGAATTACTTGTAATTTGTAATCTCTTCTTTCAGCAAGGTCCCCACCCCCGGACCCGCATTGGGTCTCATTACTTCGCTCTCACTTTCTTTCTCTTGGCTGGGATAATCCCCCCCATAGGGGACTTCAAAGTGCAGGCCGGCCAGGGAAAAGCCTTAATTACCCATTTGCCTTGAAACTCTTGCCAAATTACAACTCGCCCCAGTCCGTCCGACGCTGCGCTCCTACCTCCCTCTATCTAATTGTGGGTCAGGATTTTTTCTTTCTCCTCCGCTGTGGAAATGGAGAGATGGACTTATAATAAGAGACAAAAATCTGAAATGTTGAAGCAGGTGACGATAGAGTTAGTGACCATTTTTAGGGTGTTGATTTGCCTTCATGTGTATTCGTTTTTTATGTAAATATTCATTATAATAGAGACTATCAATGTAGAATTTTCATTGTCAGTGTTGTCATTCAAAGTCACAGACATGCAGAGCATAATGATCTGTTATTGTCCGTTTTGTGTTGCTTTTAATGGAAAAGCCAGACGTCAGCTGACCAAAGACTCATTCACTGTCTTATGAATGTAACTTCATGATCTTAACTTCATTCACTGCAAAATAGGATTTCAGATATAATTATTGACACCTGAAAGGAATTCAAATGTACTTCCAGACTTTATTACAATAAAGTGTGACCATTAACAAGATAACAGTCAATGAGGTTTAACTCTGTCATAAAGTTTTTCAGGTATAATTGTAGATGTCCAAAAAGAAATAGAATATACCGACATTATATGAAACTATCCTGTTAGCGATATCAATACAGCCAGTAAAGGAATAACAGTACATTTTGGTCTGTCCAAGCTACTCTACATGATTTAACATATTTAATTATAGAGGCTCAAATGAAATTAAGATATACATACATTATATGTATAAAACATATCCTGTAAATGACGCCACGAAAAGGATATGAATAAACATATGCTGACTGCACTGCTGTGTAAATGTATATGGTTTAAACTGGTAAAAACAAAGTAATAAATTAACTGGAGTATATAGATGTTTTCACTGAAGGTTTTAGGTTTAATTATTAAAACTCAAAAGGAATTCAAATATACTTCCGGTATATGCATAAAAGTATCGTTAGTAACTACAAAGTTCAAATGTGCTCTGGTGTACTGTGTATAATGCTTTATACTTATACCTTTATACACATATACTGTATATTAAATATAAGTATCCTGTTAATCACTACACAATGCAGAACTGCACTTTCCTACACAGAATGACAGTAAATTGTGATGTGTTGAATGAGAGGTCAAAACTATCTGAAGTATCTAATTGACTGTTTATTTCAATGCATTTATGTGCTTTCCATGTGTAGTGCACAATAACCGGTGGTGCACTTTAACCCATTTTAATCCATTAATGACTAACGACTAGATTTAGTATGTAAAAAGAGATGGAAACACAAAGTCTGCTGTGAAAAAATGTCGAGACATGAGTCTACCCAGATGCTTTCATGTATTTATCATGCCTTGATTGGTAGGCAAATTAGATTTTCTTTTAAAGTACAAAAAAGAAGAAAAATGATTTAAACATTCATTTGACATGTGAAATATCAGATTTACACTGGATTACACATTATTGAAATTGAAATTGTTTTGAATCTCATGGTACCAAGCATTTGATGTAACTCTTTTTGAGATACAGCCATTTCTGTATCATATTATTATATTTAGCCATTAGTCAATAGGGGTTATTCATTTTAGCCAATAAGAGTACATTATAAAATGTTTCTAAGGTCTGCACAGTCATTTTAAGAAAATGCAACAATCTAGAATTTGTGGGTTCGATCCCCAGCTCCTGGTGCCACATGTCAAAGTATCCTTGAGCAAGATACTGAACCCCAAATTGCTCCCGATGCCGTGCATCGGTGTGTAAATGTGTATGAATGTTAGTTTCTGTTCGATGGACTTTGCCATCACTGAGTGAATGTGTGTGAAAGGGTGAATGTGGCACGTAGTGTAAAAGCGCTTTGAGTGGTCGGAAGACTAGAAAGGCGCTATACAAGTACAGGTCCATTTACCATTTACCATTTACCAGAATATGTGTGTATCAAAATCTGAAATGAACTAATTCATTATAAAACTAACCTATTGTTCTAGATGTTTTCCTGGAACAACAACTGAAAAAGTATGATAAAAAAAGGCGCTGTAGTCATACTTTGACCGATTAGACATTTTTTATGGATTTATGCTTAACTCAGCCAGAACTGTAAAGGTCCTGTGTGTAGGATGTAGTGACAGTTAGTGGTGTAGTTGCAGATTGCAACTCTCTCACATCACACTCCCTTTTCAAATCTGAGGGAGAAACTATGGTGGCCGCAAAAAAACTTCAACGACCCTATCTAGAACAGTGTCTGGTTTGTCCGTTGGGCAACTATAACATGGTGGTTCAACATGGCAGACTTCATGAAAGGTGAGTTGTAATGTCTGTAGATAAAAACGTCTCATTCTAAGGTTACAAAAACACAACAATTCTTATTTTCAGGTGATGATAAACTAATGAAAACATACATTTAGATATTATATTCCATTTCTGACAATAGATCCTCCTAAATGCTTAATATTATAAAGTGCAGAAAATTATTGATATTATTTTTGATATTATGATTTCACATTAATGGGTTTAAAAAAAAGGAGAAGTAGACAACAGGAGTCTGAATGTCATGTTTACTGTAACCAGCCAATGGTGTCCACTGGCCACACCTCAGTGACATCATAGAGAACAACCTATAAGAGTCAGTTCATGTATTTAAATAAAGTGACATCACAAACAGCATTACATCCCTACTCCAAAAAAAGCCCGCCCCCAGCCCCTCCCCTCTGCATCAAACATTATTACATATCAAAATTACATTCTCTCAACGTCATCCCAAAGCTGCTTTTTTGTTGTTTATTGTTATTGTTATTGTAAATCTAATGCAAGCTGTCATTGAATAAAGGATTGATCTGATTTTGAAGGATTTTGGAAGGACGTGGAGGGAGAGCCAATATAAACGTTAAAAAACAAAAAAGTATCAGGAAGTGGCTGACAAAAGTCTGTTATCATCAGAAAACGATGAAATGCAACTTTACTGGATTAGTTTGTTTTAAAGAGGTGCTGCTGATGGGAAATCAGTAGCTTTCAAGGTTTTATCTGAGCCCCAACGATTTTCTATGAGTTTTAAAAAGCATTAAAGGGATGGAATATAGTACTGCTTCAGGTTGTTTTCTTCTTTGTTATCGCAGCATTTCTGTGATTGGCGGGTGTTCATATGATGATAGGTTTTTTTGTCAGTGTCATCAGCAGTAAATGTGTTTGTAGCTAATATGCAGCCTGTGTTTTCAAAAGTAAACCTTACACAAGATTGTGTGAATGATATTTTCGCATTATCAGTGTGTTTCCATAGTCCCTTTCTGTCCGACTTGCTCAAAGAATAAAATGAGACAAACAGGCAGAGGATGAAGAATTGTAACAGCTTGTATTTGTGCTCTGTTCTCATGCCGAGAAATATCAATGGGGGAGGCGTGTGCCTGAAAACTGACATGGAGGTCACAAAGGTCAAACAGAATAACCCCCCCACCCCACCCAACGCTACCCTAGACACAGGAAGTCACTGCCAGTGCCAGTTAGAAATCCCAAACAAATAAGAAAAAAAAATCAAACAAAATGAGTCATAGAAAAGTATATACAACCAATGGAGCGGTAAACCAAACATCGACTTGTGATTTGTCACTAAAATTGATTGTTGAAGAACCTCTTGATACCCTTCTGTACAATGTGATTTATTACAACAGTACAAATTCATCAGGTTATTTGTCCAGCCCCATGAGAGGAAAAATACATCATGACAGCCTGTGAGTTGTGTCTTGTCATTGGAATGTAGTCACCCTCCCCCTGCACCCGATATAAGAGCAAGACGTCCTGAGGTACTCCAAGTACCCTATTCACATAAGGATGTACATAGCCTACAAGTTAAAAAAAAGACAAGCTCCTTAGGAAAGACAGCAAGTGCCTACACATGTATTTCAAACCATCCATGAAGAATAATCCATTCCAAAAGAAGAAAAATAGATACAAGTCAGGATTCTCAGTGTGTTTTTCCTGAAAAGCAGAATCAGCGTTCTGTTGTTTCTATGGGAGAAAACCTCCATCTGCTAAGGGAGCACCCACCCCCAGCCCAACAGCCACCCCACCACCAAATCCAAGTTTGTTACAGCTCAGTCATTTTTTAATTTGTTTATTTTTTATTTTATTACACCCAAGGCAGAATAAAAGTTACTAAAACTTAAGACTTTTACAGTTACAGTGACAGAAACAGTTTAACAGACCCACAATTTAAATTGGACTGCAAAATAAAAAATAAAAAACAAAGTTTTTCTATTTTTGTAAAATGCCCAGGCATTCTCCAATATTACAAATACTGGTATACTTTTACAGTAAACAAGAAAAATGTAATATATATTCATATATATTTATATATATACTAAAACCCCGTCACCAAAAAAAAAAAAGAAAAAGAAAAAGAAAAGAAACAATATACACATCGCCACTACGGCATTCAGAGAAACTTTAGAAGCAAACCTGGGGAAAAAAATACTCATTTGTTTAAAACACACATACACACAAATATTATTTTACCCTTGTACTTGTTTCAATACTGTAAACTTATTTTAAGACAGAGTGCACTAAATTCTTTTTTTAAGTTTCTGCATTTCCTGATTTTTGTTGAGTCTTCCTTTACATTTTGTGTGGCTTTTGTCCACTCCTGGAATTTTCTGTTGAGGGACAGACTCTTGTCCTTATGAGTGAGGAATTTGATATATATCTATATATAGGTTTGTGCCTTTATATGTACATATGCATACATATATACACACACAGACACATTGATATTGTGCTGGGTACTCCTAAACCTAAACTCAGCATTGTTTCATTTCTATTAATTTAAATAATTCTGTTTAAAGGTCAAATTACACGTTAAAGTGAACACAATTTTACCTTTTGTTTTCTTGTTCAATTTGATGCATCATAAAAAGTGTTGCATTTGTCTGAGACAATAAATAGGAAGATCATTATTCAAGGCACACTCATGTCAAATTGAATGGCAGTACAAAACTGTCCCAACTAAAATTGTTGTTTTTTTTTGTTTTTGTTTTTTTTCTTTTCAATTTTATAGTGCCAGCATTGGGAAAGCCTTGCTAACAACCCTTGGCACATCAGCGTCAGGAGATCCCAAGCTCTAGACCCTTTAGTACCTTCTCTGTCCAGCTCTGTGTGTGTGTGTCGGACGGAAAAATCATAAAGTGCGGGTCTGTTATTAAGAGCTCTGAATTTGAACATTGATAGCATTCAATTCAGATCTGATTTAAAAATTAAAAAGTGCCACTATGAGGTGGATGGGGCCAAAAGAAAACCTTGGGTTATGATTTATTTTTTTAAATAACGGGCATGGAGCAAACTGATACTGCTTGTCTTACTATTAGTCTTAGTATTTCAGCACACACTGGTATATTTTTCCTCTTCTACACAACTGTCACAAAACTAACAGTGAAACTTGGAATGCAGGATTCCTATTCCTGGAGAGGTGACTTCATCAATCAGATGATAACTATTATACTATAATAATAGAAGTCAAATTTTACTGTACCACTTTTTAACAAATTGTTAGATATTTTAGCACAAAAAATGCATAGGGATATGGATTTTTATAGATTTTGAGCATAAAATCTGAGAATTTCTGCAGAAATCCAGTAAAGTTAACCATCTCTCTTAAATGTTAGAATTAGAAGCAGTGGCTTCAAATATAAATTATTATAATCACTTTGAAATGAGGATTACGCTTGACATTAGCCTGGGGGGGGCAACATATGATTAAATGGAAATGGAAGCTTCTGGAAACATAGGAATGATTTGGGCCAATAAAGGAAAGTAGTATAGCTCACCCTGAGATGTCCCTGTGCTCACTCTCTTGTCTCGTTCTCCTTTCTATCTCTATGCATGCTTATCTTGCATGGCTTCATGCTCAGTTTACTCCTAATAAATAATATAGCCTAGATCATATGGCTTCATGCAAAATAGAAAACATGGATGTATTAATGTAGGTAAGATTTTAGTAAGTGGGTGTGTGGAAAGCAAAGGAAATGAGGGATGGTTGTCGTAGCGTCGTCGGGGCTTGGTACTATGTACCAGTCAGCAGCTGCCTTATCTAGAATCTGTTTCTTCTGGCTGGTAATGGTGTTCTCAGGAGGAGACAGGGTTTATAAACCTTGTGATCTTCTTTGATTTTAGATTTACTGTCAAATATGACACTCAGTGCTACATATCCAATTATATTGACATGTTTTAGAGTCAGTTCATGCTACAATGCCAAAGGATTGTTGTCCGCGTATCGTCATCACACAAAATAGACTAATTCTAGCATTCTCAGTTAACGCCACTTTCAAATCGAAGATTGAATTCAGCTTCTCTTCAAGAAATCACACATTTAGCTTAATATACAATTTCCTACAAGCAGCGGCCAAAAAAGATTACTTAAAATTTGCTTTCGTCTCTGTAAAAAACTCTCAGGATATTGTGGGTTTCTTAAACGCAATGCAAAATCAAAGTAAAACTAATTTTAAAAAACGTCTAAATAAAAATGTACCTGCACATGCCAAAATACAAAATTCAATAAATACAGAAATTATTGCACAGTTAAAGGCTCCACATATGTTATAACTCAACTGACTGATTGTTTAAAAATGAACCCCAAATGAGGCAGTTTAGACAGCTTCAATTGGTTTTAAGATCTGTTTTCACTTTTTTCTCAGTTGGCAGTTTCTTAAAAACACAAAAACTAACCCAAAATTAATATTTCAGAAAAAGAGTATCCAGCTACCCCATTTTGTTATTTTTTTAAGTCAAAGTGTGGCGCAGAGTGTGGAAACAGAGACCCTGGTTTAGGTTCTCTCTGCTTGTTCAATTTTGACCTCATTGGTCATCAAATGTTCTCCATGCCACTTTTTCATATGTTTCTCTAGAGTGCTGTACACACTGAAGGGCATTTGGCAAATGTCACAGCGGTAGACCTCCTTACCAAGCTGGCCATGTGTCTTCATGTGGCGCGTGAGCTTGGAGCTCTGGGCGCAGGCATAGTTGCACAGCTCACACTTGTAGGGCCTCTCGCCTGTGTGGCTGCGCCGGTGCACCGTCAGGTTGCTACAGTTCTTGAACACCTTGCCGCAGAATTCGCAGGTGTCGCACCTCCTGCTGTCCTTGGAGCTGGGTCGGCCAGGACCGGGGCCCCCACCCAGATGAGGTGTGCTGCCTCCACTGGCAGTGCCGCTGCGGCCTGACAGGCCGCCATCCAGCAAGTCACCCGGAGGCGTTGAGAATCGGAGACTGCCATTCTCGGACGAGTGCTCAGAGGAGGTGGCGAAGGGTGATTGTCTTGAGTCAGTGAAGCCTAGAAAAGGGTCTTTGATGAAGTGGCGTGAGGCAGCATAGCCCACCAACCACTGGGAGTAGACGTTCTCAGAGGGTATATGGGGTGCTGGGGGAATGTCCAAGTCTTTCTCAATCTTGATCCTCTTATTTGAGGAGTTGGACAGGCTGGGGCTAGTGATGGGGGTGGGCTTACGGGGAAAGAGGCCTGAAAAAGAGTCACCGGAGCCACAATTCCGGCCATTAATGGTTGTCCTCTCTTCCTGCTGGTGGTGGTCCATCTCCCCAGCCACTGAGTCCTCATCCCCAGTGTCCCGCTGGCCATCTGAGCACCTCTTGGAGAAGGGCATCCTTTTACGATTGTCAACTATCAAATTATTGTACTGCTGTATAGAGTTGAGCCCCCCACCTTCCACCATCTTTTCAAGGGCAAATGATGACTTCTCCTCTGAGGGTGGTTTAGAGCCATTCTCCCGGTTCCGGTAGAACTCAGACTCCATGCTGAAGTTGGACTCTGGTCGACTCTCATTCTCAAGTTCCTCTTCTTCCTCCTCCTCTTCTTCTTCCTCATTGCCTTCACCCTGGAAGTCCCCATCACGATTCTTCATGCCCTCACCTGTGACATCACTGGTGCCTGGCTCTGGGGAGCTTGTGGTAGACAGTCCATCATCTGAGCGCCCCGTCAGGGACCCAGCCTTGTGCATGTGGGTCTTCATGTGGCGCTTCAGCTTACTTGCCTGAGAGCAGGCGTGGTCACACAGCTGGCACTTGTATGGTTTTTCTCCAGTATGGCTGCGCCGATGCACCACCAAGTTGCTCTGGAACTTGAAGGTCTTACCACAAAACTCACAGGACTTGATCTTGTTCTGTGTCTGAGGAGGGGTGGTGCTGTTTGGGGGCATCGGTGGTAAGGGAGGGGTGCTTAGAAAGGGTGATTTAGGCCCAGGCTGAAAAGGGTTGGGGTTTAGTAGTCGGTGCATAGGGTTGGCCCTGCTGGGTGACAGTGGTGGTGTGGTACTGTTGGTGTTCCCTGCCAACTCACGTAACCTTCTAGAGAAGTCCATGGACTGGGACTCCATGGCCATGGGCGTTAGACGCATCACCCTCTCAAAGGCACTGGGGTGCTGGGAGATGAGACCCATTTCCTCTGCACTAAGGCGTTCCAGCCGATGGGGGTCCAAGTGGTGCCGGGGAGGTGGGCTGACAAATGGAGGTGTGTTGGGGAGGCGGTTCTCCAGGAAGCCTGGGGGAGGCTCCCGGAGCAGGGGGCCCGTCATTCTCAGGAGATGGAAGGGGTTGTTGTCGCCAAGAAAGTTGGTGAGGGGAGACTGTGGGATGGAGTCATTGCCCATGGGTGGGGGCATAGTGATGCGTGGAGTGAGGGCTGTGCTGGAGTGGTTGGACTCCAGATATATGCGAATACCATGGGTGTTCTGGGCATGCTGCAGCAAGAACCAGGCGCTGGGGAATGGCTGCTTACATGTGGTACATATGTAGCTGGAAGGCTCATCCCTGCCACCTGCAACACATAGGGAAAGAAATACATTAAATATTTCAGCTGAGAACCATTTATGTTCAAGTACATATGAAACATGATTTCTTTTTTTAAGACCGTATTAGGTTGAAGTAAAATCTATCAATTAACAAATTAAATTGTCATTAATGTTATTTCTTTTTAAATAACAGCTTATTTGCATTGTGTAAACTTTCCTTTGCTGAGGGCAGTGAGATGCAATAATAGCTGAAAATGGCTTGGCTCATCATGTTGTCACATAAATGTTACATACTTATCACACTTTTGACAAGAGCATTCTCAGTCACACTGGATGGGCCCACACTGGATCCATATTTTAAGTGCAGCTTAATCTCTCACTTGGTACAGAGTATATCTCTCCACCACAAACTGCTGAATTATTACAGTGTATGGTTGTGTGTGTGTGTGTGTGTGTGTGTGTGTGTGTGTGTGTGTGTGTGTGTGTGTGCGTGTGCGTGTCTGTGTGTGTTCGTGTGTGCATCTGGGCTTACATGTACAGTAAGACTAGTGGTAAATGCATGTAAGTGTGCATGATTGCATGTGTGTGTGGAATGGATGATTTTAAAAACCTGGGAAGCCCTCCAAGCAGAGAGCCTATAATGTTACTTTATTGTTGTTAGAGATGCAAAACTCGTACTGGTGAAGATGGAGGATGTACATCTCAAGAGTTATTTAAGGAAGACTAATCACACACCAGCAATTGAAGGTCTCAGCTTTTTTGGGGAGTGAAATGAAATTTAAAAAAACAGGCAAAAGCAAGAAAAAGATGTATTAGGAAAAATAGCCTTCAATACACACAGATAGCAGAAAACAGAGGGAAAGCAAAGTGAAGTTAATTGTATATATGATGTTTTTAAACCTATAAGCATTAAAAAAGTTATCTCTGTTATGAGCTAGTTTGAATAAAGAGATCACAGTCTTCAATACTCCATAATGTTGGTTGTAGAAAGCATCTCTTTGTCAACCTTTTAAAAGCCAGAGAGATGTTTAAACATTTCCTGGGCAGTGAAGGACCTAAAATATTGACAATACACAGACTAAACTCTCCTTTAGAGATAACGGTGGCAAATTTATCGTCAATCAAGTGTAACAAATGAGGTGGAATCCCAGAGAAAAACAAGGAACCCAAAAATACAAACATGCTTTTCCAAAACAAAGCGATATGATTTTGAGAGAGTTTTGTACTTTTAATAACTAATTAATGCAAGTGCTTTTATGTAATACACAGGTTCCTGCAATTCAAAAAGGACTTGTTAACACCAAGCCACAACCAAACCAGATCCCAGCTTAAGGACATTAAACAGGCAGAGGAGCACTCCTACAGGGATTTCCATACACACACAGACAGATAATGGTAATTGTGCTCTTGTTCTTACTCTCGTATTTATTTAATGAAAGCATGTTGTCTTGACCTAGTACACTAATTTCATATACTGGGACAAACATATGCCGCTGTAATTGTTTCACTTATTTGTGTGTATATGTGTGTGAATGGCTGTAGCTATTTCTGGCCACTACACACACACATAAAACAGAAATGTATGTATTTGTAAATTTATATCAGAATCAAAGAATCAAGATCATTTATTTTATTTTGTTTTGTTTTTCTGTTTATTATTCAGAGAATGCCCTACTATGGGGAGCAAATTCTCTTTAATTTTGTTTATGCACATCTTCCCTAAAGTGCCTGTATAGAAGTTCAGAAAAAATAATTGAACCTAAATGCATGCATAATCTGAAAAAACAATACAAAAAAATAAATCAATAAAATATGTAATTATTAAAGATGTAGCACATTAAACTCCTACAGGTTTGAATTTTGAAACACTCCACAATATGTTTGCTACAAAAAAATTCTGTTTAAATACCTGCGAAAAAAAGTTCCTTTAATAATTTACCATTCAATAATTTAATTTCTCTCTATTTGACACTTTAACAGTGAACCTCCTCTCATGGAAACATCTCTCCCTCTCTTGCTCGCTGATGTGTGTGTGAGTGTGTGTGAGTGTGTGTGTGTGTGTGTGTGTGTGTGTGTGTGTGTGTGTGTTAAGAAGGAGAAGCGAGATGGCGGAACAGCTGTTCACCTCCACAATCCTGTAAAGCCTTTTGACTTAATTATAGTGGACAGCACATTCACACACACACACGCACACACGTACAATGAAAATAACAGCTCCCCTCGCCTCGGCTTTTGTCTGCACCTTTCTCTCTCTCTCTCTGTCTCTCTCTCACACACACACACACACACACACACACACACTGGCTGTTTTACTGCTGAATCTTAAGAACATGAAGACAAGAACTCTGAACACTCAGAAAAAGAAACACCCCCCTCCCACACACACACACACACTTTACTTCCCCCCGCTCTATCTGTTCGCTGGACTCATTGATCTATGAGTGAAAAATATAGAGAGAGAAGATCCTCCCTCCATCCTCCTGAACTTTTCGTCTGCAGACAGAAGTCATCAGGGGGGCAGTCGATGTTCATTTCTGCCCAACAATTAAGAGCAGAGTGGTGTATGTGTGTGTCTGTGTGTGTTTGAGAGAGAGAGGAAGAGTGAGACATTGTGTGTTCCTGCACTGAAAAGCCATTTCTCCCCGGTCGTATTGGAAGTAGCGGGTCGTGTTTTGTTTGGGGGAAGTGTGTATGTAGTGTGTGTGTGTGTGTGGTGAGTGTGTGTGTGTGTGTGTGTGTGTGTGTGTGTATGTGTGTGTGTAGGTGTGTGTGTGTGCGCCCTCCCGGGGGAAGGGAGTCCAACGCAGATGGCAAATAAAGTATGCAGCCCGAGGCGAGAGCACATTATGCTAATTCTAATGTCAGCTGTACTTTAATATACGACTCTATTTAATCACCCCATTATTTCCTATTTCCATATGAAAAAACAGAGAGAGAGAGGGAGCTGCTCATCACTTGATTTTGTAGAATGCAGAGACCCATGTTTTGGTCGTCCATTCTCTCCTCTCTCTCATTCTCTCTGTTTCTGTCTTACACACACAGGGTTTGAGTTATGACCCACTGTATGTGTTTTTACAGTAAGTGTGGGCTTTGTGTGTGTGTGTCAGGGGATCTTCATGACTCTGTAAAGGTTATATCAGTTCACTTTTGGTTATCTGTGTATAAATATGAATGCTCAAAAACTAAATTATTTCCCTCATAGATTATTGTAATTCTAATGAGTGGAAACTAATTACTACATTTAATTTCGTACTGTCGTGTACTGCTCTTACTTACAATAATTACATTTATAGAAGAACATAAAATAAAATAAAACCATATACAGTTATTTACATACATACATACATACATACATATATACACATATACACCCAGGAGATAATTCCATAAATAAAGTACATTCGCAAAGTAGTTAATGGTACCTAAGGCTAACTAGCAAACATTTAGAGCAGCTGACAGGTAAGGTTTTTTTCTGTGTCCTGTTTCTGTCATCTTTCAGGCTTCAGAGACAAACAGGAAGACAACAGACAAAGCAGAAGAGGAAGAGGAAGAAAGCAATGCTAATGCAGCACACGTCAGCCTCCAGCTAGCTAGCAGAGCTAACATTAAAGTTATACAGTTCATGTGAAAGTTGCAACTTTTATCGAAGGTGAAATTAAATTACAAAATAGGGTTTGTTCTCTGAGGATACTGAGATCAAATTTGCTGCAGTTGTTTCTGAAGTCTTGCTAGTTTCGAGTCAGATACGCTGATATTATACTTGTAGCTTTAAAACATATTTGGGTTTAGTAAAAACAAACCAAATTGCTGTTTTCTGGGCCAACTTATGTTACCTTGCTATCTGCCACTGAGGGCTTACAAGGAAATTCAGTACAGGGTTTAATCTGTGGCCCTGACCCTTCAGACCACTGTTGACAAAGCATTTGTAAGCAGCTTTGAGCATGATTTTGATATTAAATATTCCTTTACCCATGTTAATTTATTACAATTTGTAACCACTATTTCAAACACAATATAATGGGCTAACTCTTTCCTAGAATCTCATTTTAATGGAATACTGGAAATATAAAAATCTATACTCACATTTAAAGGTTTACAATGCATATAACCGCCACCAAGACATTATAAAACTGCAAGAAATTAGTTGTAAATATCTAAATTATTTGTTCGAGATTACTGGTAAAAACCCATACAACACACACACGCTCACAAGGACTTAACCATGGAAGCAACATCCCACAAATCAAACAGAAATCATAATGAAAGGAACAAATGTGTTTAAAAAGTCAGACAATGCCTGACAAAGTGAAGTGACTTAACACCAGTCTGTCAGTGGGAAACTCCATTCAATGCCATTACTCTACATATAGCTCTCTCTCTCTCTGTGTCTCCCTCTCTCTCTCTCTCTCTCAGTTGAAGTGCAGCCTGGCCCTATGCCTGTATTTTGTTTGGCTCACATTCACACACACACACACACACACTCTCTCTCTCTCTCTCTCTCTCTCTCTCTTACACAACCTGTTTAAACGAGAGAAAAGGAAAATGTGTGCTGTCGTGGACAATAAAAGTTGTCTTTTTTCACATTTCTTAAAAATGTTATGGACACACATTGACAGCTGAAGTTGGGTCAATGCTGAGAAGAAAATATGATAACGTGTAGTCAAGGGCGTTTTTGGGCATGGACAAAGCGGGCAGCATTTTTTCATGACACGGGAGCACTTAAAAAAAAAAAAAACCCTGCACCGCGAAGCGATTTTCTATTATCTATCTGTTCTATCATATCACTGTGTGGGGAATTGGCAAATTGGCGCCCCTGCTTGTTGAGAAGGTGCCTTGCACAGAAGCTGTGTGAGAAGGGGAAGAGGGAGGGGGTGGGGAACAGTTCACCAGTGGGTCTCCCTAATGGAATGGACAAGGGGGGGAAGGGGGGGAAGGGGGGTTCATCTTCCAAATAACGCACATTTCATTCATAATATAATAAATACAGGCCTATAGTTCATGCACATTTTTGTTTTTCTGAATTGTG